TGCCACAGCTGTGCTGTGCTGTGCTGCTGGATGTCACCCCTGCCACCGCTGCCGTCAGGGGCAGAAGGGGTGGCAGGGCTTTGTTCCATGGCTGCAGAGGGGAAATGCTCTGGGGGATGAGTTTTCCTGAAAGGTGGAAGCATTTTTATTATTGATTTACAACTGCTGGAATTTTTAAATGTATAATTTAATAGATATTTTAAATATTATGTCTTAATATATTATACATAACATATATATTTAATAGATAGGTTATATATATTTAATACATATTTAAGATCATTTTAATATATTATTTTAATATATATTATATTTCAAAATAATATTAATATTTTAAAAAGTATTTATATATACATATATGTATATATAAATATATATACATATATGTATATATATAATATATATGTATGTATATACATATATATAATATATATGTATATACATACATATATATATTTATACATGCATATAATACACTTATATATTTATAAATGCATAATTATAAAATGTATAATAAAAATGTATAGAAACGTATAATAATGTATAATGTGGCTGGCCAGGTGGCTGCCACAGCTGTGCTGTGCTGTGCTGCTGGATGTCACCCCTGCCACCGCTGCCGTCAGGGGCAGAAGGGGTGGCAGGGCTTTGTTCCATGGCTGCAGAGGGGAAATGCTCTGGGGGATGAGTTTTCCTGAAAGGTGGAAGCATTTTTATTATTGATTTACAACTGCTGGAATTTTTAAATGTATAATTTAATAGATATTTTAAATATTATGTCTTAATATATTATACATAACATATATATTTAATAGATAGGTTATATATATTTAATACATATTTAAGATCATTTTAATATATTATTTTAATATATATTATATTTCAAAATAATATTAATATTTTAAAAAGTATTTATATATACATATATGTATATATAAATATATATACATATATGTATATATATAATATATATGTATGTATATACATATATATAATATATATGTATATACATACATATATATATTTATACATGCATATAATACACTTATATATTTATAAATGCATAATTATAAAATGTATAATAAAAATGTATAGAAACGTATAATAATGTATAATAATAATTGCCTATTAAAAAAAAAAAAACAACATAAAGAAAGTTCAGAAAATCTTTGCCTAGATTTGTAATAAGATCAAGTGATGGCATATGACAAAAAAGGAAGTATTTACATGCAATCATCGGTTTACAAATCTGGCAGAAAGTGATTTTTTTTTTTTTTTGTTAATGGAGTTATGACAAAACTCGCAGTTTTTGTTCACATTCACCATTTTTCAAAACTCACCCCGTGCTGAGTGGGAGGGAGGATACAGCCTTAAGAACCACAAATGCAGAGTGGGAAATTCTTCTGGGATAGCAGACAGGGGGAAAAAAACCCAGCAGGAATTCAGGCGTAGATGTTGAGAGCATCTAAATTTGGATGCTGGATTTTTGCAGCCCCAACAGGTCCCACTTGTGCAGTTTATTTTTTTCCCCCTCTGTATTAAAAAGAAAACACTTTGCAGTCCGTGATTGGAGTGTCCAGTTGTGGAAGTGCCTCCAAAGGCGAGAGTTAATAATATTTATCTAAAACATGCCAGAGCCCACATGGAGTCTGGGGGACTGGGCTGGATAAAACCAGAAGGAAATCCCTGCTAACCTGGGAGTCACTGGAGGGGCTTTTTTTTTTTTTTTTCCCACCAGCCTCTGATGCTGTGGAGCAGTTGTGGTGAGAGTATGGATGTGATGCTAGCCTTGTAGCCAAAGGAATATTTTTAGCTTCCTTGTTTTCCTTAAGGAAAATGACATCCTGCTTGCGACATTCAGGGGATTATTTTAATTTATGTTAATGAGGGAAGAATTGCTGTGGGACCATTTCCAGAGCAGTGCCATAAGCAGCAGTGAGGGGGAAAAAAATGCCAAAAGAAAGAGGAAGATACAAGGAAATATTTCCAGGTTATTGCTTCAAGAAAAATATTTAATGTGGGATATCAAAGTATTTTATATAACCCTAGAATGGTTTGGGTTGGAAGGAACCTTAAAGCTCATCCCATGCCATGGGCAGGGACACCTTCCACTGTCCCAGGCTGCTCCAAGCCCCAAAGTCCAACCTGGCCTTGGGCACTGCCAGGGATCCAGGGGCAGCCACAGCTGCTCTGGGCACCCTGTGCCAGGGCCTGCCCACCCTGCCAGGGAACAATTCCTAATTCCCAATATCCCATCCATCCCTGCCCTCCCTGCCCTCCCTGGAGCCTTCTCCTCTCCCAGGCTGGCTCCAGAGCTGAGGGGCTCTGTGAACTCTTGAAATTTCACAAGCAAAAAATCCTAGGTTTGGGTGACTGGAATAATTTCCTCTGACTTACTGCACGTGCAGTGTCACTGTGCCTGAAGGTTTGATGGATTATAATTAATAGCAGAGGGGGAATTCAACCCAGTTTCTCCAGTGGGGTTAGAACTGGATGATCTTTAAGGTCTCCCTTCCAAGCAAACCATTCTGGGGTTCTGTGGAAATGCCTGAGCTGCATCACCTGGAGCTTTCTGTGCTCCAAAGGAGCAGTGGATTCTTGCACACTTCAGTAGCTGCAGGGTGCGTAGGACACACAGCTTACACATCCTCACACTGCTTGTGCCCCAAGCCAACCCCACAAAATCCTGTGGCAGCAAAAAAATCCTGTGACAAGCTCAGAAGGAGCTCAGCACACCAGCTGCTCCATGGCATCATCTCCAAAGCGATTGGGAAGGCTGATTTTTTAATACAAATATCTTTGTTCCCATTTAGGAAGTTACTCAGTGGTGAGGAGGCTCATATCTGTTAGTAAATTAGACACTGAGGAGGTGACACAGTTTATTAAATTACCCAGTGAAATAGGGACTAAAATCATCACCAAAGAGGGAAACAGCACAAAATTAATCCATCCTTTTTGTGGCCTTAAAATGCCCTCCCACTGAAATCTTCTGTGTCCATAAGGCAGCTCCATCCCTTGGGAAGCTGCCATGAAACTTCAACTGATGTTAAGAGATTGGGGGGGAAATATAGCTTCAGACTTCTGCCACTCTTGAAGTAAGTCACAAATACCGAATATTTTCTTTTTTAACACAGTGGGGATTGCTGCCTTCCTCCAGTCCTCCAGCTCCGGCAGGGCTGTGACCTCGAGCCCACTCTGCTGCTGCCGCTGCTGGAGAGGCTCTTTGCTTGCAAAAGCGAGCTTGAAAGAGAGAGTGGTGGGGGTTTAAGAGGTGGAGTAAAAGGCAGGGTATTGATTTTATAAAAATCCAGCATCACCTTTGATACTCTGTTAAAGTTACACCAAGGGAGAGCTGGCACGGCTTCCAGCGGGATAATTACGGCCCCAGCCTGAGTAATGTCTGCGAGCTGCCATGAGAAACGCAGGCGCTGAGCCTTCCTGGCTTCAATAGCTGGCATATTTTACATATCTGCTGGCTGTAAACTGTTTTCTATAGTGCCTCGTAACAGAGAAGCCACAGGGAGCCAGCAGAACGAGCTCTGGCTGAAGCCGAGGGGTTATTTCCAGCAGCACTTTGTGTTTTGCCTCCTCTGAACGTGCCTGGGGATGTTCAATCCTACAGGACATTCTGGGACCCCTTCCTTATGGATAGCATCCTGTTACATTCACATTTTCTGAAAAATCCCTTCACCCAGGATTTCACTCCTGGGAAGCTGAGAAGCCTCAGAGAAAAAGGAAAACAATATTATCTCCTTTGCTTCTCCTGTGTTTTGCTGCTTTGGAATGTGGTTGAAGATTGTTTATCCAACAGGTGATTGTTTCATTGGTTTCATGTGAGTTATTTTGACTTATTGTCCAATTACAGCCAAGCTGGAGAGTGCAATGAGTTTTCATTATTATCTCTTTAGCCTTCTGTAAGTATCCTTTCTGTATTCTTTAGTATAGTTTAGTATTCTTTAATATAATATAGTATCATAATAAATTGGCCTTCTGAGAACATGGAGTCAGATTCATCATTCATTCCTTCCTTCATCAGGGCACCCTGCAAATACAATAGGATCGTGCCCTTTCCTTGGACAAACTCCCGGGGTCTCACTGGTCAGGCTTTAAAGCTAAAAACGTGCACTAATGAAAGGCACCGAGAATGAGGGGGCTGTAAAGCAGCCTGCCCAGATCTGCCCAGGCTCCAAGCATCGCATCCTCACCAATTAGTGCCACTGTCCCTAATGAACAGCCCGGTGTTAGCGTTGGGGTGGGTCTATCCCTGAAAAACGGGACTGTCCGGAGCTCAGCCGGAGGGCGATGCTGGGGCGGGCCGGAGTCGCTGCTTGGGCCAGCTCCGGGACCTCCCTGCGTGCCTCTTGATCCACTGCGAGACATAAATTCCCCTGCTGTCCTGCCCTGGGCTCAGCCTGCGTCCCCCGCTGCGTGCCCCGAGCAGCTGCTGAGTTTCCCTGCTCCCGGCCGGGCTCTCGGGCACCCCGGTGGGCACAGCGGGGACCGGGATGTGGGCACACAGAAGAGCGGAATGTGGGCACAGAGGGCCGGGATGTGGGCACACAGAAGAGCGCGATGTGGGCACATAGAGAGGAGCGGGATGTGGGCACAGAGAGGGAACCGGGATGTGGGCACACAGAGGGGACCGGGATGTGGGCACACAGAGGGGACGGGGATGTCGCTGCTCCTGTGCCTCGGGGGTGCGCAGTGTCCCTGTCCCTCTGCTTCCAGCCGCTCCTCCTGCTGGCCCGGGGCATCCCTCGGGCGCTGCCTGCGTGCCAGCCCGAGAGGACAGCGGGATGTACGCAGGCTCCCAGCCGGGACAGGGATGCGGGACGCGGGACGCGGTGGGGACACAGCCTCATCCCGCTGTTCCCTGCCGCTGCTGGCTCTCTCGGTCTCCTTGCAGAGGTTTCTCAGGGCCACGCTGGCCCTTCGCTGGCGGCTGTTTTATCTCGGTGCTTATCTGCAGATGAAGCCGCAGTTGCTCCGGGCTGAAGCCGGACCCTGCCCTGGGAGCGCTCCGGGAAGGGCCGATGGATGCGGAGCGTGGCTTTGGCTCGGTGGGGCGACAGGGGGGACGCTGTCACCCCACAGGATTCCAGAGCCTCTTGCTCTGCGATTTTGGCCTCCCAGGAGCTGACCTTGAAGCGGCAGCAGTTACTGGTTGTGAAATGGTGACGCTCCTTGGTGACTCGCTGAGCTGTCAGTGAGCTCATGGAGCCGAGTCACCGGCTGTTCTTAGTGCCATCTACAAATTTCATACAAAAATATATCGATGTAGCCTTTAATCCAGACCCAAAGCAGATTACTGAGCATATTACCGATGTGTTTCCCCTTCTGTGCCTCCCTAGCAGCCCAAGACAGCTGGGATATTAATAATGACCATGTGTTGCTCACACACTCCAACCCCAGAGTGCCAGGGTGGGGAGGCAGCCCAGGACCTGTTTCTGCTCTTCTCTGCTCCAGAGACTGGATCTCCTTTAAGTGAAAGCTCTTCTCAAAAGAGAGTCATAGCCCAGTGTCCCCAGTTGGGGTCCAGTAAGGTGGTGAGGGCTGGAGAGACTGTCAGAGTGGGGGGCTGAGGGCAAGGCTGTAGCTGGTGGTTTAATTCACAGAAAATACATCATTATCCTTAACTCACAGCATCCTTGCAGTTTCCTCTGTGCTGCTGGCCCCTGGAGCTGTGAAACAACTCAAACCAAAAGTGGTGCTCCTGGGGTAAAAATGTGGAATTACACAGTTCCAATTAAACGAAGTTTGGCTGGTTTAAAAAAACCTCTTTGGGGAAAGTTGCATCCTTCTTCTGCTACATTTGTAGAACAAAACTTGCACTTTGGAGTGGTCAGGTGGCTGCTGCTTGATGGAGATCCCGCTGCTTTCCTCATTCAGGAAAGCCAGACGTTTGGGAATGGCAGCAGCTTGGCCAACATGAGTGTCCCTAGGGATCTGAAACTGCCTCAGGTGTTGAGAAAAGGGGATCCTCCTTTCCTGACTGGGTATCCTGGCAGAAAGGCCACAAGCCTTTATATTTAAATAGACAGAGGACTCTCACATCCACAATTACATCTATAAACAGAAAATAAAGAATTTCATTGATAAGAGAACACAAAACTGCCACAGATAATCATGTTTCTAGAAAAGGGTTCTTCTATCACGTAAAAAAACTTGGATGAAAGTGATGGTTGTGCAGCTGAAGTTGTTAAATGAATAATACAAACTCATTCTGTCTCGTTCCCAGGGGAGTAGTTTTATCCCTAGATGGAGACACTCTTCACCCTAATTTTGTTTCTACACGAGTTAATATTCTCCTGGGAAAAACATAAAGTCTGTAAAATCAGTGATTTAAAATAATAACCATCACACTGCCTTACACACACACTAAAGACCAAGAAAATGCTGAGAACTTGCCCAATGACAATAAAAATCCCAAAATGAAGCTTTGAATCATCTCAGAAGTAACTAAAACACACAAGGAAATGATCATTTGGCCTTTAAAATGAACAAACTACCTAAAGCTTCTCCTTTCTGTGGAGCAAGGGGTTCTCAAGTCCATAATTACTTACACAAATAGAAAATCAGGAACTGTATTGATAAGCGACTTTTTCTTCCTTCCCTTTAACCAAAGAGGTTAAAAAAATCTCACCTCCAAAATCTTAACTTGCCTTAAAAACAGAGATTAGGGAGTTGCCACTCTGCCATGAACTCTCCAGTGTGGAGGAAGCAGCTACAACTCCAACTATTCTGAGACTCCAGGACCTGGTTATCTTGAACCATCGGTGTTTGTTTAACTTAATTTAAAGCTTCATTAAAACCTCAGTTGCAAAACATGCCAGGATGAATAACTGTGCTCAACACCTATGTGAGAAGAAGGTTTCCCATCCCCAAGGGATTTGCCCACCTTCCTCTTCCTCAAAGCCAGCTGAAGCTGCTCTGCTCTATTCCCAGCCAGGTGTGAGGGATCCTCATTTTCCTCCTCCTGAGGCTCAGGGCAGGCACGAGGTGAGGATCGAGGGTGGTTCCTGTATTTCCTGTCTCTACCTGAGCTACACGTGCCCCATCCAGGTGTTTTCCACCCTGGGTCTTTCCATCTGGCTGCTTGTCAGACATTTATTCTCACTACTGATGCTTTTCTCTTACTCATTCAAGTAAGACACTTTGACAGGAGGAATCCAGGAGTTGCCTTCCAGGCTGAGTTCCTGCCCCTGGGACAGGTTCCACAGTGTCAGGTTTAGAGGAGAGAGGCAGAGATCCCTCCTCAGGAGCCAGCTGGGCTTGATCCCGAGGGGAACTGCCCCCTCATTGTCTTTTCCTTCCTTGATGACTTCTTCCCTCCTTTGGCTGAAGGGAGATGTTATTCCCGTTTTGGGCTGGAATTTTCTCTGTCTTGCCAATGATTTTGGTTCTGGTCTTCTCCAGTTGTGATGGCTGGGGGTCGGTCCCCACCACTCGGGTGTGACCCGAGGCTGACTAAGCCTCGGGGACTCGGGGGGAGCGGTGTCACTCCCACCCAAGAGCTCACCCTGTTACCCCACACGCTTCCCAGCTGCTTGTTTGGAGCCATTCCTTGGGATGCACCCTATGACCAGGCCCAGAGCCGTACCATTATGCGAGGAATCCTTTATTTGGGATCCGTGGTGAATCACAGAGTGGTCTCAGCAAGCCAAGGCCAGGAGGAGTACGGAGACCACTGGGCGCCCTCGGCGTGCTCCTGGATCACCATCAACACTCCGATCCCCGCCGCGTGTCCCTGCGCCGCTTTGGGCCCGAGCTGCTCGGGCTGTGCCGCGCTGCCGGAGCAGCGGCAGGCCCGGAGCAGCCTGCGGAACAGGGAGAGCCGCTGCCGGCGGCGCGGCGGCTCCGGCTCCGCCGAGGCCGCCCTGGGGGGCAGCGCCGGGGGCTGTGTCTGCGTCTCCCGGTCCATGAACAGCCGGACGTGGGAAATCCGCCGCTCGCGGGCCGGGCTCTCGGTCTGCACGTCTCGATCCACGCGTTCAACACCAGCCCAGAGCTCGGGTGCTGCGGGCTCCGTCTGGGCGAACTGGTGGACCAAGATCAGTTCTGTCTCAATCGGGGCAGGGGTGGAGGCTGTGGAGGGCACTGTCGAGGCGGTGTCCGGCGTGGCCTTGCCCGAGCAGGCCGCGCAGCTCCTCAGGCGCCGCCCCTGCCCGCGGGCCGCGGTGTTGGCCGGCGGCAGCAGCGGCACGGGGCTGGACATGTCGGAGCGCTGTCCCCGCCCCACTTTGGCCGAGTTGGGACGGCTCCTGGAGCTGTGCTGCGGGCGGGAATGCCGTGAGAGTTTGTCCCCACGGGCGGCTGGAGCCGAGGTTTGGGACAGCTGCACCTGGAGGCGAGAGGAGAAAGAGACGCGGGAGGCGTGGGATAGAGTGCTGGCCCCATCCCCGCCTGTCCCTTCGGTCCCATCCTTCAGCAGGTGCCTCTTGGAGGGCCGAGGGCCGAGCTGGCCCTTCTCCGTGGGCATCTCCATGGCAGCTATCCCGGGGAGCTGCAGCCTCCGGAGCGCGGTGCCCTGCGCTGCTGGAGGGCACGGCCCGGCATGCTCCTTCCGCAGCCCCGGCAGCCGCAGTGCCACACGGGCCCTGGGGACAGCTCGTGTCACAATGACCCGGTGGCACCGCGGGGCCCCGGCGTCACAGCGGGCACGGCCGGCGCCCTTTGTGACACAGCCCCGGCTGGAAGTGGCAGCACCGGGCACGGGGCGGCTCCTGCCTTCCGCTCCCGGAGAGTTTGTGCTGAGGGCGGCGTGTGGGGAATCCCATGGGCGCTCCCAGGGCTGTTTGAGCATCCCCTCTCCGTCCCGAGCTCCGGGAAGGGCCGCGCTCTGCTCGGCCGTGCCGCCCACGAGGTGGCGCTCTCTGCCCGCCAATAAAGCCCAATTAGTATTAATAATTGTTAATTAGTTCCCCCTCCCCCCCAGCAAGGACTGCCTGGCCCCTTGGCCGCAGGGATGCTTCCATCTGAGGATGGGACAGCTCCGAGCCCGGAGGTTTCCAGCCACACGTGAAAGGCTGGAGGCACAGACACGGGGGTGCAGAAACACCCCACCACCCCACCTCCTTAAAAGACAGAGACGCTGCTAATGGATTTTTCAGCCCTTAATTTAATACTCTATCGGTACAGCCTTGTCCTCCGGCTCAGATGTTTTGCCCTCTCCTTGCCCTGCCCTAGCAGACCAGGGAGTCTGTCCCTAAAGGCATGGCACAAGATTCCATGGGTTGGGATGTGGATGCTGAGGGGTTTCTGAGTGCCCTGAGTGCCCAAGGCCTGGCTGTGGGGGCTGGGAAAAACCCCCTCCCCTTTTTTTGCCTGCCGCAAGGGGCTCCTGAAATCCCTCCTTGGAAACAAGAGTGGTTTGGGAGGGAAATGTGATAGGGGAGCTGATGGTGCCCTTTGCCAGCCGGCATTAAAAATTAATGTGTGTGATGGGCTCTTCCAAATAAGTCCAGGAAGGATGAGTTTCTCCCTCCCTGGACAAGCTGGCAGAGCACTCCAGCTGCCTTCCCCCTCAGGTGCCACCAGGGCCCCGGTGTCTGTGCCTGGGGACGGGCTCTGCTCCCTCAGGGCATGGGGTGCAGGTTGGGGTGAGGGACACCGGCTGTCTGGAAAGCTGCATGTCCCACAGGATGGTGGGGCTGGGCTGGCATGTGCTGGGGGGTGACCTGGAGGGCAGGGAGCAAGGAAACCTGGTAGGAAGGGGTGTGGAGTCCTGGATGGGGAGAGATGCTGGGTGGGATGTGCGGTGCCCCAGCCATGAGGTACACTGGGCAGGGAAGGATGGAGGAAGGCATGGAAGGTGCCCAGGTGCTAAAGGGCGGGGAGGGGGGTACCCAACACGGGAATGCTGAGGGTAACACAAACTGGAACGTGGGGTGAGGAGAGAGGTGGGATGCTGAGTTCCCGAGTCAGGAGGAATGGGATGCTGAGCTCCCGGTGGGGCCAGGCCGGGATGCTGAGCTGCCGGGGATGCTGAGCCGCTGCCGGGGATGCTGAGTTGCCGGGGGCCGGGCCGGGCGGGCCGGGGGGCGGCTCCACGTGGCTCATTAGCAGGAGGCAATTTAATATTTATGAAGTGCTCTTGTTTGAATCCCAAGTCTTCGGCTCCAGTTACAAGGAGCTGCGTCACCCTGCGATCACATGGTAATTGTTGCTATTTCCAGGATCCCAGCCTCGCAGAGTGGCACAAGAGCTCTTTCCCCTT